AAGTTATGGGAGAGAGCAGGATAACAACATCTTAGGAAGACTACACCGGAAAACCGGGTGTCTGCCCAACTGTCCAAGAGCACCAATTCACACGTCAGAGCATTGATCCCCAATCTTCAGCAAGACATTTGTGTATGAACTTCTCTTTGATATTTTTCCCATTAATCAGAATAGTTGACAAAAGGTCCCAATAAATACAAACATATGAAGAGAAGGAATTTTCTAACCTTACACAATTGTGATTTGGAGCCAGATAATATTTTGTTTGGAGGGTTATTACACGGTGCATTATAGAATTCTCAGTACTGTCTCCGGCCTCTACCCACCCATTATCAATGGCACAATGTTTTCGCCATCATTATGACAACAACAACAACAATAACAAATAATAATAATAACAACAAATAATATCACTATATTTTGCTGTCCCCTTGTGGGGGCACAGTTATCTCCAGTTGAGAAATATTCTTTCATGAGTTATTTCAATAGTACTGACATCATGAAATGACTCCAATGTTAAACTTTTAGACTACTATGTAGAAACTTTACATGTAAATAATCAGATGGTATTTTAAGCACAACGGACCCCACACAGTTCCTGGCAATATTTTGTTTTGTCTTGTTGAAAACATTTTTAAGTGTAAAAACTATTTAGCTAAAATATAGATTAAAATTTCTTTTGGTAATTTCCATAAGCTGGAAACTTTATCTAGCTAGCAGAGGATTTATTACCTTAAGATAGTAAATGTGTTGACCTTCTCAGAATGCTGGAATCAAATACCTCTAAGTTAAATTCTATTAATCTTGTTTGTAATTTAATTCTATCAAATGTACTTAAACACAAAGAGCTTAAATGAAATGGAAACTCAATATTTGAACCAAATGAGATTCCCTAGTAAATGAAAAACCACATTCTTAGTGAGAATATGTCTGTTCTCTGGTATGGAATTAAATATCCTGTGGGGTTTCTTTGAGGATGTGGGCATAATATATAATAGAAAGGAAATTCTCCTAATCAATTTGAAAACCGAAATATGTTTTGATATGGTTGTAGAGGTTATTAATGAAGAAAACTTGCTGTTTTTTTTTGAGAACTGCCTATAAAGTTATAAAAATTGAAACATCGTTTTGAAGTTACATTTCAAGGTAGCCTCTATGAATTTTTCTTTACCTATTGCATAAATGCTTTAGTAAGCAAGGAAGGGTCTATTCACCAATCAAGTATCTGCTAGGGACTGTGGGTGACCAAAGATAGAATGTGCCTGGACCCTGCCAGAGAACAAGTACTTTATCAGGAAAACAGCCATGTTTATCTTCCATGTTTTAATACATTGATAATTAAAAATAATGTTTTATTTTGGGTATTTGGAATCTATCTATCTATCTATCTATCTATCTACCAGAGAAAAGTAGCCAAGAAAATAACCTTGTTATCCAATTAGAGCAACAGTAGAAGAGGGGATATAAATAAGACTTTGGTCAAATATATTTCATTGGGATAATTCTAAAATGTTCATTTAAAAAAATCATTGAAGTTGTTTATCATATGAAAGACAGTTTAATGGAAGGCAATCTCAGGAAAAGAACACTAGGATATAAGTTCAAATCTGTGTTCCTGTTCTGTCCTTGTATTTTTTTCATGGATAAGTCAGTTAAATTTTAAAGAGTACCCTGTCTGTACCCTGTAATGTGGTAGAAGCCCTATCTCAATATCCCTACACACAGGACATGCTTACAACTTGTAAGCAGGGCAAGGATGGCAAGAACATCTTGAGGACTCAGCTATACTAATTCTTCTTTCTGCATGGATGATTTCAGGATAAATCCCGTATTTTTGGCTATAACCTGGATTAGTTTACAATAGGGTGTTCTAAAATTTCTTCTTATATAATCATGAAAATATTTATCCATAAAGTCCGTGAAGTCTTACTTTTAAACCGGCTGATAAGAACATTGTTGTTTTTCTGTTAAAAAGGATAAGGAGCCAAATGTAATTGTGTAGTAAAATAAAGACTTTTAAAAATCAATGTTTATTTGAGGGGGTTCAAAAATGAACTGCTAAGGCATCCTTAACATAGCTGGACTCTATCCACTTCTGCCTAAACTCATAACCTTGCCTTGCAGCCTTCAGAGGAAACTATTGCTGGGGAAAGGCATCTCCTACACAATATGGAGTCAAATTCTTTACTACAGTGTCAGAGTAACATAATCGTATCATTTACACGAGTTTGAAAAAGCACCTCTGAACCAAGATTAATGTGATTTTCAAACAGACTTTTCCCTGTTATTCTCTCAATTACATTTTTAAAAGTCAACCTTTTTTGTCATGCCAACCTCAACTATGTTTTTTTTCTTCTTACCTTTTCTCTCTCTCTCTTTGTTCAGCAAGTAGGTGTCCTAATACATGAAGAACAATATCCTTCATTGAATAGAATTATGCAGAGAAAAACATTATGCTTGAAGTGCCTTATGCATCCCCTACAAGTTGCTTCCTGCAGTTTGGCAGTACCCAGAAAAGTCAAGCCCTGCTCAAGCTCTGCCCACTCATTTAACTTCAAAAGAGATGCTCTAAAATGCACAGGGGCTATTAAGGATAGTGTACAATGTTAAATGTCTGTGGGGCTGTCCTGGATGCTAATAACTAAGTATGGGAAATACATTAGCAGTGACAGTGACAGTAACACTTTCACTCCCAATACCTCTTGGAAAGGACAAGTCATCATGTCTCTAAGTGGAAAAAACGGGTGGGGGGAGTGCTTACTCCCACACTTTACATTGCCATGACTACTGAAGAGCCATTTTCCTATCCCCCTGCTCTAGACCTACCAAAAATAGGGTTTGAGTTGAGTGTATAAAGAATGAAATGTATATCCAATTTAAAATCAAAGGCAATTCCCTATGTTTCATAAGTATGCATTTTTATAAGCTGTACGAACTGATTTGACTAGAGAGCCATCAGCTGGAAATGAGTTTATGACCACTGTTTGGCTTTGCTTTGTTACCCATATACCTAAACCATGAAGAAGCATCCCATTTTTTAGAAACTGTGCAATGATTTCAAGGCTGTTCTGTGACATGCAGGCAAAGCCAGCCTGTTTCTCAACAATTCAGTCTTCTTATTATATGCTTTTGTTTGTTTGTTTTGAACCAATCAAAAGCAAACGGAAAGAATATAATTGCAAAATATCTGATATGTCTGTTGATGATGTCTCATTAACCTTGACAGTGAATGTAACTGGTGACTGTCTGTCACAGTGGCATGGTAGTTTGTTAGAGAGGGAGAAAAAACCAATGGAAACATCTTGGTGGGGGGATTCAAGGAGAAACATAACTTGGTAGTTCTACAAAAAAAAGATGAAGCATTTCCAACTGGCCAGATTTGCTACATTCTAGTTTCCTTAAGCTTGAGATAGCTCTACTCACACATTCTTGAGAAGATATTAATAACAGTATTTATGTATATTACAATATATGCTCTGAAGTATTGAGAAAAAGAAAGCCCACTTTGATGTTGAAAAACAACCTCAGAGAAAAAGCAAACATCTCAGCAATAACTGAATATGTGCGGTGATTCGTGTGTCATTAGAAATACCACAGGCCACTCGATGTGAGAATGTTCTAATTCCAGTCTGTCCCCAGCCATAGTGCCCGCTTTACTAATTGCTGCTGGGTAGCGAGTCAACAAACAAAGAGGGAAATTATAGAGGAAAATGAGGTTGTCTCTAGGGACACATGGTTACCTGGAGAGGAAGAGACAGAGTAAAGATTTCCCCAGGCTCACTAGCAGACTCCCATTGGCAGAAGGAAGAATCTAACCTTCCACTATTCCCAGAGACCCCACAGGAAACCAACACTTTCCACCATTCTTCTGGCATCTCAACTGGGACTGGTTCCTGTCTGCCCTCCCCAGAGCAGAAGCTGAAGTAAACAAACCTCACAGTCTCCACCTAGATTCAGATAGAACAGCCTCACTTTTATTTTATTTGAATTGGTTTTCACTCATGGTCTCTCCACTTTCCCATTTCTAGTCATCACTCCTCAGCTTTCCTTAGGAACTTCTTGAAAGTTATCACCATTAGCCTCACTTTTCACATCCAATTCCCACCTCAGACGGATGGCACACGCAGTTTCTGTTCTGTGTTTCTGTGATGTTCTCAGGGCCACATCCTGGCTCCTGATCTCCGGCCTCTGGATCTGGCCCTCACCCACGCGTTCAAATAAACCCCAATAAAAGTGTATCAACCTGTTCTCTCGTTTCCCAAAGAAGTTGCATTTAAGTGGATTGAAAATACTATGAAAGATGAAATAACTGAATTGCGAGCACCATTTTCCTTCTCTCAAACCCAGACATGGCTACCTTGCTCCGGGAGGAGTGGGCTGGTGGCTGCCAGGTCGTCATTAGGGACTGCACTTTTGGTTGAGTGTGGGTGGGTGTTATTTTTCTTACCATGCCAACTCACATTCCTCTGTTCCTTACTTTCAAGCTATGGTAACCTTTCCCAAAACACTTTGTCTGGGGGGACTAGAGGAAGGGAGGTGAAAAATGAGAATAGGGGAATGGAATCTCTGAACCTCACCTCCCTCCTCCTGCATAGTATTTTCTTCTCAAGTAGCGGGACTTTCTTGAATGTATTCTCTTGTTCCACTTCTTCGCCCAGTTATCCCCAAAGCCTCCCTGCCCCCAAGCCCATTGCGACCAAAACAAGCGCACTGACTAAAGCACTGTGGCCGCCGCCGCCCCAACTGTTGCAGCAGCTGCGGGGTGACAGCAGAGGCAGTAAGGGCAGGGCCCAGCTGGGACCCGGACCGGACGCTCCATGCCTTGGAGTCTGAGAGACTCCAGGCTGCTGCCTAGGGACGCACAGTCTAGGGGAGCCCCTGCGGCAACCACCGCTTGGGATAGCAGAAGCGGTTTTCTCAGCCGGGACTCCGCGCGGAGCCAGCCCGGCAGCCGCCGCAGTCGCCCCGTCAGGGGCTGCCCGCACCCGCCCTGCTCTCACCTTTAAGATCAGGTCCGTGTGATGCTGGTCCAGCATGTTAGCCTTTTGGAAGGAGGTGACGATGACCCGGCCGTAGCGCCCAGGGGTCTGCAGGTCCGAGTAGAGCCGGTGCTTGGAGCGGTTGACCGGGAAGAGGCTGTTGACTAGGTTGCGCTCGATCTTGGCTAGGCTGTGCTGGGGCGCCAGCAGGTGCTCCACGCTCTCTTCGACCTGGTAGCGGCTGAAGCTGGCGCCGAGCAGGATGGAGATGAGCACCGGCGCCGAAGCGAAGAAGACCGGGTGACTGGCAATGAAGTGGCCAAGCCGGGAAAAACACGTCCTCAAGCCCCTGTGCAGAACCTGCCGCAGCATCCTAGAGCAGAGCGGGCGCGGGAGGAGGGCGAGGCGCACGCTCGGCGCGGGCTAGGGCGACGGCGGCGGCGGCGGCGGCGGTGGTGGTGGTGGCGCCCGCGGCGGCGGCGACGGCGGCGGAGGCAAGACCCTGAGCTCTCCTGGAGCCGCGGCACAACCATGGGGGAGTCCCGCGCCGCGCCTCGGGAGGGTCCCCTCGGGCTGGAGACACGCCCTCCTGCCCGCAGCCGCGCCTGCCCGGAGAGCCCCCCAGCTTGGCGGTCTCTGCGCTGCTCCCACTCCGCCCTACCCTGGGCCCCCTCCCCACTCCGTGCTGCCTCCCTGCCCGGGGGGCGAAGCGCGACACTGCCGCGTCCGTGATCAGCGCGGGCGGGGCTGGGAGCGGCCCCCGCGGCACGTCATGACCCCACTCACCCGATCCCCGAAGCCAACGACGGGATGGCGCGGGGAGCGGCGGCAGTGGTGGCGCTAGCGCCTGGAGACTCTGTGCGCCAGCCTGGAACACGAGGACGGAGAATTCCAGGCTACACCCAGTCCCCTCCTCTCAGCGCGCTCCCCCTCCCCCGGCTTGGCGGGCCAGGAGCACCCCCCACCCCGGCCTCCTCCCGGGAGACTCAGAGATAAATAAAGAGATGGCCCGAATTTTTCAAACAAAAAAAAGTAAAAGAGTTCTCCCGTTAGGGGGTAGAATGGGTATGTCGGGCAGACCCGCTTCCAGCCAAGTCTCTCCAGAGAAGGAAAGAAGCTGGCTGAGGACTGAGTGCGCCCCAGCTCTTGCCAGGCTCAGGTGGTGGCTCGCACTGGCTGTTGCCGAGAGGGGGTGGGGAACCGAGACGCTCGAGCGTGGAAATCACGCCTCCTCCCAAGTAAGAGCCATTTAAGATCGCCCCAACACTGCAGTTCCAGGGGCACCACAGGGGACCAGTGCGCGCCTGGAGCCAATCCATCCCCAAATGTGTCCGAGGACAATCTTTCTCCCGAGCCCCAAATTGGGTCGTTCCAGAGTGGATTGAACAGGACAGTTCTGCTAAACATCCATCCACCACCCTTCCTACCCTGTTCCCCAATAAAAAAGTGCTGATAATGACACTCTGTCAGTCCATAGAGTCTGTCGCCAGGCTTCCCTATCTCCATCCTGCCCCCTTTTATCTTCCTTCTCCTCCTCTCTCTGTCGTCACTGGCAGGTCTGGGGGATCTGGTGCGGCAGAGCTGGTGCGGGCGCCCCCCGAGGGTGTAGATTGTTTAGAAAGGCTGGTCAGGAGTCAGTACTTAACCCCCTTCTCTCCCTCACTTCACCTGCTCCTCCTCCACAAGCCACAGCGTGAGAGTAGGGGGACCCTTATCTCTGATCAGGAGATGTACTGGTCTCTGAGTATGTCGAGCCACAGGGGGCGCGGGGGAGCCCGAGGGGCTCTGAAGGCTTGGCAAAGTTGGGTTTGTGCGTGTGCGCGCGAGCCATGAGCTAGCTGGCAGCCACTGTGGTTCCCCTCGCACTTCCCCTCGGGAGATTTCCCCGAGAAGGCGGGCGCCGGCTTCGGCCTGGGATAGACCTGCAGCGGCGGCGGGAACGGCCACGCACAGGTACAATTTAGCGCGTTTTTTTTTTTTTTTAATTTTTATTTTTGCGCGCTCTGAGCCCCTAGGTCCGTCCGTGCAGACCGAGTGAGATCCGCGGAGTCTGGGTTTACTGAGGCGCCCTGTCCCGCCAGGATTGGGTTGGTAACCAGAGCACAAAGAGGGGTCCTCAGGTTCACAGCTCCAACAGCTTGGTCTGCCCACCCCACAGCTCTGGACGGTCTGCTCGACCTCTAAGTGCCAAGGGTCGAATGGGAAGCGTCGCTGGCCGCTGGCGGGAGGCGCGGTCCCTTGAGTGTGGCACATACTACTGAGCATGGACATGCATATTAATCAAAGCTGCGGGAAGAGAGAATAGTGGGGGAGGAGGAAGAGGAGGAAGGAGGTTGGGTGGGAGAGAGGGAATGAGGGAGGAAGGGGTGGAGGGAGGGAGAGAAAGAAAGAGAGAGAGAGAGAGAGAGAGAGAGAGAGAGAGAGAGAGAGGGTGAGATAAAGACAGGCAGACACACGAGTGAGCTCGGCAGGAGTGGGAGAACACGACTGAAAAAGGCATTTTCCTAACATTACCATCCTAGACTCCCCAACACCAAAAGGCTCTCTACTTCTCAAACTGAACTTGAGAACTTGCACTTTGGAGACAGGAAGTCCTGGACCTGGAATCATTTTTTTTTTCTTAATTCCCGTTCCTTTCCCTATACCACATCTATGTTCCTTCAACAATGCCTGCAAGGCAGATCTGTCCACCTTGCGGGACACACTTGTCCAGTTCAGCATGAGTTTGCTTCCTAGGTCCTTCCACCTGTCTCTTGCTGTTTTTCCTTTGCCAGTCCCCGCTTTTGACATCCAGCTCTTTTCAAAGGCTCCTCGCGAGTCCCGCAGCTTCCAGCCCACATCCCCCGCACTCTATATTGCCCTTCTTAGGAAGGACATATGGAGCAGGACTAGAAATTCCCCTGCTACATTCCGTTTGTGCCCTTCCCCCAGCATCTTAATTTCTGCTCCCTGAGATGCTGCTGTTCTGCAGCGCTTTGCTGATTCACGATGATCACGGAGGGAAAAGCCTCATTGACTTATGCCCCTGCAAGCGCTGAGGTAGCAGGAGTTGCAGCAAGGGCACAGCCTTTGGGGAGCGCCCCCCCCCACATACCCGCTGAGCAGTCCAGGTGCTAAAGGGCAAGGTGGCTGCCCTGAGTACTCAGTCCAGCAAAGAAAAAGAGAGAAGGGCGCAGGTGGGGGTGGCGGCGGGAAATGCTGGGAACCCAACTCATTTCCACTAAACTAGTCGCAAGTGGTGGGTGGGCACCTGTCAGGAGCCCTAACATCTGTCTCTGTTTCACAAATCCTGGTGCCAGCGCTGGGACAAAAGTAAGACAACAGAAATCAACACACAGATCTACTTGGGAACCTTTAACATTTGGGCAAAGCTCTTTTCATTCTGAAATCTTTGTCCAAATAGTTCCCTCCACAAGCTTGCTTAGCTTTCATCCCTAGAATTCCTTGCTATTTTATGTCAGCCTTTATGCAGACTAAAGATCTGGCTCTCTCTGCAGTTCCATAACAGAACCTTAGAGCAGGAGACACTGCATTGCCTAGCTGTCCTGGGTGGAAGTGTTGCCCTCCTACACTGATCAGTTTCTTTGAGACCAAGCCATTATCTTCCCATTCTTCCAACTCTATCCTTGTGCATCTCTGGTGGGACTTCTTCCTTTCCCACCTTGATGCAGTTAAAACCTCCTCATAGCGAATCTTCAGCAATCCTTCATTATTTGCAACACAGTTACTACTGCCAAAATCAACCTAAAAAAGATGTAAGAGGAAAACAGGAAAGGAGAAAGACAGGAGAGAGAAAAGTGTGTGTGTGTTGTACCTTTTTTTCTCCTTTTAGACTTCTTGGGAAGCACTGCCACTTCTGAAGACTTTGGTTTGTATTTGAAGCAGTAACACTGAGAACAGAGCGTCTGTCAGTCCATTAATAGATGATTTATTTATCTGATTAAATATTAATGCATATTAATAGTGTAAAATTCAGAAAATAAGGAAAGAAGGGAAGACACCTGTATCCCTTTATGCCCATCACCTTTTAAAGGTAACCTCTGTTAAAATTTACATACACATGTTAAACACTGTAGCGAATTAAGGCTGTAACATTTATAACTATGGAGCTGAATCCTGCTCCACTACTTACTACCTACCGTTTATCAAGTGAATAAATTTACCCTTTTATTTCAGTTCTTTTTTTTCTGGGAAATGGGAATAATAATAATATGTACTCCATGGAGTTCCTGTGATGGTTTAAATAGTGTGGAAGGATATAAAACACTTAAAATAGTACTTAGAATCTCACAAACACCCAAGAAATGCTAATAATTATAATTATAGTCTTTTTGTGTGAGAGTGAATAGAAAATCAGTCTCTGACATCCAGGAGCTGTCCTGGTGTTGTCAGCTGGCCTTGGCGTTGCTAAGAGCTGGCCTGGTGCTACCATTTAAGCTTTGGTGTTCTCTTTGTGAACATAAACAATTTTCCAAAACACTGACGCTAAATAAGAGCATTGTGCAACTGTAATGGATTAAAACGAAATGAGGAATCATGTCTGAACACAAGCCAAACCATGAATCTTGTCCAACTCAAAATAAGTGACCAACAGGTCATTAGTATAACTAATCAAATTGACTATTGTGATCTTTCCAAAAAACAAACGACCACAACCCAAAAAAAGTTTGTTTTCTAAACCTCGCTCTCTTTAGATAAAGACTTGGGTTTTTTTTTTTTTTTCTTTTTTTTTTTCTTTTTGAGTCAGGGTTTCTCTGTAACAATCCTGGCTCTCCTGGAATTCATTTTGTAGACCAGGCTGGCCTGCCCTGAAACTCACTGAGATCCACCTGTCTTTGCCTCTCCCAACTGCTGACATTAAAGATGTGCACCACCACCTACCCATATAAAGACTTAAAAGACACCCATTCATCAAACTATCCCTGCTTGCTGACTGACTTAAGCTGTCAAACTTGAGAATACAAATCCATTTTATATGTAAAAGTCTTTTATTAAAATGTCCCTTAGATCTCCATGATGATATGTAACTTGTACTAGTGTTGTTATTTGGCGCTGAAATATATGCATATTGTTTATATGTTCCTTTTCAAAAATAAAGGATAGCAAGCAATGAGTCCCAGTTTTCATTAAAGTCATGAACATTTTCTCATGTCAATTAATATTACTAAAGAAGATCTTAATAGATCTATAAGATGTCTTCATGTGACTAAACTTTTATCAAATTATTTAAAAACAGTTCTTGTATTATAAATAACACTGAATTTGATCTAAAGATTATGTACCTAATCTACACTCTCTCACTGCAACTTATTTGGTTTTAGGATCAAATCTTCCTTTTTTATTTATTTATTTATTTATTTATTTAGGCGGGA